TTGAGTCCATGCAAATTTTCAACATTTGTTTTATATTCCATGAATTTTTCAAGGATTTGATCATTAGATTTTATAGTTTTAACCACAGCATACCTTGAGTAGTCTTCAACAAAAGTAACGACATACTTTGATCCACCTTTTGATGCAGGTGTGACAGGTCCAATTACATCATATGTATCAACTGAAGTAATCTAGTTGAACGTTCGGCTTTTTCCTTGGGAAATGGAGTCTTCCTCATTTTGCCCAAAGCACATATTGAGCAAACAGTCTCCTTTTCTTGGATTTCTTCACGTGTCATATTCAGATCATCCCTTTTCATAAGTTTCTTAATTGCATCATGGTGGAAATGTCCTAATCTTCGATGCATAATTTCTTCATGTCTGGAAAGGTATATTTTGTGCATTTGCTTCTCTTCAATTTTGTATAATCTTCCATGCCTGTGTGAGAATGACCTTATCTTGTCTTGGATCTTTTATGATTGCTTTGCCCCTCTCAAAGGAAACAGTCATTCCCGTTTCTTCTATTCTTCCCACTGAAAGAAGGTTACCATCAAGCTTAGGGCCATACAGAACATTTGCTAGATGAATAGCATCTTTCCCACATTCTCTGACAGGATTCAAAACAATGTCTCCCATACCAGAAACTTCAATTTTTTCAGAATTAGCTATCTCAACTTGTGATTTCACTTAAGCTAAATTCATAACTTTCTACTCTTGAGAACACATATGTGCAGTGGCTCCATTATTGAGGTACCAATCACAGACAGATTTCCCACCGCAAGAATCAGCAAACAGTGCTTGATATACTTCATTGGAAACCATTTTTGCATGTGGGGTTTTAGCAGCAGAGCAATTTTTGGCAATGTGACACCACTCCCCACAAGAAAAGCAACGGGTTTTTCTCTCAATATTTTTATACTGTTTCTGTAATGGCTGCATAGTTTTAGTTCTGTACTTATCTCGAGTTTTGAGCACTTTCTCTCCTATGACCTTACTGGTAGGAACTTCTGTTTTCACTTCTGTGTAGCGCAGTAATTTTTTCTCTTCGACGATGAGGTGCAATTTTACGATTTGGGTTGGCAACGTATCTTCTTCAGGTTCTAAATTGTGGATAAGGCCTTCATATTCCTTGGGCAAACCCATTAACATAACGAGGGCAACTTCTCTATTTGCAAGTCCGTGTCCGCAAGACGATACTTTTCAGTGAAGGTCCATCAATCGACTTAGATAAGAACTGACACTTTCCCTAGGTTTTAAAGTTACATTAAAAATTCCTTTAAAAGTTGTAGAGAATGCAAGAGTCCGAATTTTGTATGGATGTCTTTTAAAGTATCCCATGCTTCTTTCGCTCTTTCACAGTCAGTGATGTCATCTAAGACCTGGTCTTCAACCACTAAGAATAGAAAGGTTAAGGCCTTCTCATTAATTTTCTTTTCGTCATTGTTTAATTCAGCACCATAACTTGGATCAATCACTTCCCAACAACTTTTTTGAACTAAAACAGCTCGTGCTCAGATTTTCCAAGCATTGTAATTATCTCCGTTGAGTTTCTGAATCTTAATTTCTTCCATCGGATCGCTTTCAACGTGTTAGACTTAGCTTCGCCGGCACTGTGGATGTTGCTTCTTTTCTTTTGGAAAAAATCAAAATTTCTTCATTTTTGCCAAATAAACTTCTGTACAGCATATCGTGCTGATAACATGATAGAAATTACCTAAAATGTCAGATATATTTTGAAATATAGTAGAAAGAAATAAGCAAACCGCAAATGTATGTTACATGTTTATTTACTTGACTAAACTAACTGTTGCCATTCAGCAAAAAACAAAAAGTGCTACACATGAGTATTAAAGAACATAGAGTGTATATTTATAGCATTGCTTTGCCAGATACAACATCATAAAAATAAAATTAAGTTTATTTCTAATAGTTTCGCCATGAGTTCTTTCACTTGCTGAATTTTGCTGATTGATATGTTTTCATTTTCTTCAATGTTAAAGCTTAAACACTGTTCTATTGTACCCAATGTCCTCATTTAAAAATTTTGCTTCTGAACATATAACTACGGTTATCTTATGTTAAATTTTCAAATTTAAGTTTCTGCAAAGATTCACTAATTTAAGGTTTCACATTCATCCTGTTTGTTTAAGTCCGTAAATTGACTTAGCGAACTGTGGGTGAAAATGTTTCTGTATAATCTATTCCCTATTGTTTTTAGCATCCTTTAGTGGCAAGTCTGTCTTTGTACCAATTGACTGTGCCATATGCCTTTTGCTTTATTCAGAATACCCATTTGCAGCCAATGGCTTTTCTGTTTTCTGGTAAATTGGTTAATTTCTCCATATTGTTCCTCATTAATGAATTGTTATTCTTCTGGCATAGCTGCTCTCCATGTTTCTGCATTGGTCTAGATATAGTTTCTTCTACATTTTCTGGAACCGCAAAAGCATCAAAGTTTACCAAATTAGCATGTTTTTCCTGATAGACTTTTCTTCATTTGCCTGGTTTTCTTTTTTAGCTTTGACCTTCAATTACATTTTCTTCAACATCTACTTTCCCTGCATTGGGCACATTGGAATTCATATTAGATTCTGAATTTTCTGTAGTAAGAATAAATTTGATGAATTCCTGTTCGTCACCTCTTGAAGATTCCGATCTTGCTTCAGTTCCGAGAAGCTCCAAAAATCTAACATCATAACCTTGTGTTACTTCACACGTTCCAGGTTTCTGTAGATGGTTTTCTCAGAATGTCCAACAAAAATGTATTCTTCACTTTTGGGAATTTTGTAATTAAATCAGCAACACAACAAGTGCACATTACAATGGAATAGAAGTTTGCGGAATAATTGTCTTCACCTATTCTTTTGAAGTTGGCTCCCAAAAGCAAGTCAATCTTTGATTTCCTGATCAAAAGTTCGATCTTTGGTTACTTATGCATTGTTTTTGAGTGAGCAAAGAAGCTGCCCAGACGGAATAGTGGTTAGGGGAACCTGACTGTGATACCGAAGGGCCCAGGGTTCAAATCCAGGAGAAGGCATGGATGTAATTGTCTGTTCCTTCATAGGAGGCAAAGGTGGCCCACTTATTAGGAGCCTCCATAATAAAGAGACCACCACATCTGGCCTTAGGAGTGGCCGATGATGGCATAGGCAAGTGCCTGCCATTAGAAAAATAGGTGAATGAGTAAAGACTTTTAATGCAACTTCTCAGCTTTAAAAATTCTATTAAAATGCATTTCTATGTTTACTTCAGCTTTTATGAAATTTTCGTTATATTCTTTTATTATTGCACATTCATTTTGATATTTTGTAACATCTTCATCTTCATCTTCTAGTAATTACGAGCTTATTTCATGATCTATTTCAGTTAGTTGAGAATAAGTTCTATGTTATCAGAAGGTTGTTTGTTCAAATAACGTCTGGGTCACCATAAGTAGAAAAACATAAAAAAGGAATAAGTGATCAAAATAAAACAGGCAGTCCACCTCAGTACAAAACATGGTGCATTTCTGCCTTTCTTTTTAACATTATAAAAGCTAAAAAATAGTGTTGCCAAACCATAAAAAATAAAGAAAATTGTGTTTACACAGCCACTGAATTTCTCACAGCAGCATTGGTTACGGATGTATGAGGCTATTGATGCTATTTGTATGCGCAATCCTTGGGGTAATTTTGATTTGAATAGCAAACATCTGGCCATTTCAACTTATGGTATGATTAGCGCTTTCTGCAGCTTAGTTCTATTGCAGTCTATAGTCAACTGAAAACTAGTGTTTAATGCCCTCCATTTCTAAGAAGTGATTAAATTCTTGGCTTTTTAATTCTTTGCTATTTCGATGCAGATTATTTTCAGTTGCATTCCCGTTTGTTTCTTAGCCTGAAAATTATGCTTTTTAAATGCTTCAGGTGCTTTAGACCTTTTCCATAGGGTGTATTCAATAATTGTCCATGATTTGTCATCAATGAATGTTATGAAGCATTTTGAACCACCTAAAGATGTGACGATCATAGGACCACAAGTATCAGTGAGTACAAGCTTAAAAATATCAGTTTACTGCATGTGTTTCCTTCAGGAATGTTTCCTTGTTAGTTTAAATTTGGTATAAATTTCACAAAACACAGTTTCATTTTTACATTTTAATATCTTTAGACCATACTCCAACTTTTTAGAATGCAATACTTTCAAGGGACCACACCTTTCATTCCATAGTTTCAGTTTATTGTTTGGCATATTTGTGTTACCTTTTTCAATATTTGAAATCTCAGGTTTGTCCTGTTGATTTACAACATGTAGATCATTTTGCTTTGTTACTTGTACGATTATGCATGAATTTACTGCTGTTGTTGCACATGTGTAGGGTTGCTACTGAATCTAGTCACACATAATGTGTTCCTAATTCTTGTGTTGTATTCATGATTCTGATAGACACTTTTGATTAGAAGATATTTATTATGATATTTTGTTTTAGTTTGTCTGCATTCTGACACTCTGTTTGCAAACTTCAAAAAGTTTGGAAGAAAAATTTAAATCTTTTGTAATTTCCATATTTTAGCAGCTATTTAAACTTGTACAAATTATTTGTAATATCAAGCTAAACTTTTAGGTGTGTGAAATAATCATGCAGATATGGCAGCTGGGTCTTTGCAGAAACTTGCTTTTCCTCATGCTGGAACAGTGTGTTCATTGTATTAAACTTTTCTGTCTCCTATCAAAATAGAAGTATCTGATTGAAAACAAAATTTTATGCAGTATTTTTTCCTCAAAATAATTATCTGTAAACTCATATTAATTGCATTTTAAATGTAAGATTCAATACATGAGAATTCATATTGTGAATCTTTGTTTGCAGTATTTTGATTGTTAGAATTGATCTCTGAAAAAGTAATCAGCAAAGTATTGTTAAAATGAAAGAAACCGTTTTTTACTGTTATATTAAAAGATTTAAAATTTTCTTCCAAAGTTTTTGAAATTTGTAAAAATTATGATAATTTTTTTTTCCAGTTTAAATGCAGTGATTACCCAAATGTGTGGCTTGCTGTAGCAGAGAACTGCATTGCAGTGTTAGATGCAAGCTCAATGGTATGAAAACGGATATTTTCTGACCTTACTTGTTATATATAAGTACCTGAAAAATGTTAATTATTTTCAGAATAATGTACAACATTTGTACTCAATTTCATCATTTACTTACTTGTGACTAGAGACCATTGTATGAAAAGAAACTTTTTCCTTTTATAAGAGTGTACCTTTTTAACGAATTTTTATTTCCCATTCTTTTTAAACTTTTGTACCTACTAGATGAGTTTCAAATTAATTACCATATAATCCAGTATATAATACACACCTATAATTTTGAACTATGCTTTTTAATTTTTAGATAGATTCACTGTATAATGCACAACATTTTCTTTATAAAGAAACTTGAAAGATACATGTGTGATGCTGTTATCTTTTGAAGTCATTCATTCAAAGACTTTTCCCAAGCTTTCAAACATTCCAAATGTTCTCCTGTCAAACATCACAAACACAGTGCTGGTTTGAAATGCAAAGTCATTCAATTTGTGTTGAATTGTGCTGCAGCAAGGATGTTTGGTGCTGGTGAAAGCTGTATACATGAGTGGAAGGGAAATGAAATCACAATAATTACTATGCCAAAGAGTAAATGTGCTTTGCATAAAGGAGCAACAAAATGGTATTGCTCAGAAGAAAGTGTTGCGAACTGGTTCCTAGAAAATCGCCGGAAAGGAGTCATTTTAACAAGAAACAGCATATGTTTATTTGCCTTAAAGTGAGCAAAAGAGAATGCAAATGAAAGTGAAAGCTTCAAAGCAACTTCAGTTGTGTAGTCGATATATTGCATGGAATACTTGAAGCCTATGAGGGGGGAAAAAGTTTCGCAAAGGCTTCTGAAAGATTTGGGCAATAAGTTGATAAGTTTCCAGAAATATGTTATTGACCTAAAAAGAGAAAAAAAAAATATTCACTGTCACATATTGGAAATATGGATGGAACTCCAGTGATGTTTGATATGACAGAAAATAAAATAATAATAAATAATAATAATAATAATAATAATAAAAAAAAAAAACAGGTCATGAAACTTCTTACCTCATTGTAATACTTTGCTGTTTAGTCGACAGTATAAAATTAAAACCCATGGTTATTTTTAAAAGAATGATGATGCCAAAATGCAGTTTCCCAAATGGTGTTTTCATTCATATTGATGAGAAAGGATAGATGAACAAAAATCGTGTGAAATTGTGGATAAGAAATGTTTGGCAAAAGTGTCCTATTGCCTTAAAAAATCCAAAAAGTCTTAGTTGGGACATATTCAAATCCCATCTGATGGGTAGTACAAAGAAATTGCTGAAAGAGTGTAATACAGACCTGACAATTATTCCAGGCACATTAGTGTCATCGATTCAGCCTTCAGATATATGCATCAATAAGCCATTCAGAGAAAATTGAAAATGTCAGTGGAGTATGCTGATTTTAGAAGATGAAAAAACATTTACAAAAGGAGGCCAAATGTGTCATGCCAGTCTAGAAATAGTGTGTGAATGGATCTTAAAAGCACGGAATGAAATTAAACCCAACATAATTCAAAAGTCATTTAAAAAATCTAGTATATCTAATAATCTAGATGGAGTACGGATGAGAGTAACAGTGATGTTGAAGGTGAAACAAAATTTGATGATGTGTTTGAATATATTTAAAAAAAAATGAATCTGCTGAATGTTTCATGTTACCCAATAATGAAAACTTTAAATTTCTTATGTCAGTTCTTTTAAATGAACTGCATTTAGGTACATGTCGAAGTCTAATTTTTGTATGCTCATTTTTCCCTTTATCCTTTTTATGTCCAGCATATAAAGCACACCTATAAATTTTAGTCTTATTTTTTTAAATTAAAACTGTGTGTTATATGCCGAATATATGATACATAGTTTTATAAATGATGTAAAAAAAAAAAGTATTCCTTAGTTAGATTCATAGTTGTGTAGATCTGTGTTTGTTTGAAAATGAGCATTTGTTCTGTTTGATTGTTACAGAAGCCTGTGAAAGTAATACTATGGCATTAAAAATGGTAAAAGGGATTAAATATTCTTTATCCATGGGGTCTATATCTTTAAAAAGCTCATTTCCATCAACTAATGTCATGTAATATATTGCCTATTGTTGAGAAGTGATGCTCACCCTTTCTCACTGTGTATCAAAATGTCATTCCCTCTTGAATTTTTTTTTAAAGTGGAACATTCCAAATAGCAGGCAAAACGTGAAATAAAGAGTATGTTGTGAGGGTATGCTAAAAATGTGTCTCTAAATATAAGATTAATATTTAATAAATATTATTATGTATTTATTACTACATGGATTAATATTATTACATATAAATAAGGAAGCATAATTCTCTAGATTTCATTGCACTTACATAATGCCTAAATCTAATTTTTAGACCTTTTTTGGGCATGTGATTTTAACCAAACATTAGCTGTTCTTTGGCGTAAGTGTTTTTTGTTAAAATTTGAGTCTACCACTGTGAATAATTTTTTTTGTTTGTTTTTTTTTGTTAAAGTTTGAGTCTACCAATGTGAAGTTAAACAATTCTTCTTGAAGAGAATTCATAATTCCTAAGGAGCTCTGTTCTGTAATACCTTAAAATGAAATTCTTGCTATATAATATATTAATATGAAAACTTTGTTTGCTAAAACAGTTTTAAGAATTGAAAGGTTCTTTATTTAGATCTTGGATAATGTTGTGTGGTGTAGTTTCTTATATTTTCTATAGAAAGACTTGCTTAGTTATGTGTATTGCAGATACATTTAAATACTAATGGACATTTATAATGTTATGAAATATTTTTTAATCCAATAGTGGACACTTTCCTAATCAGCATTGGCCATTTCTAAGGCCAGAAGTGGAGGCAATTTTTTATTGTGGAGACACCTAATAGGCAGCCACAGTTGCCTCTGATGAAGGGATGGACACTTAAAACCTTGCCTTCTCTGGGATTCGAACCCGGTCCTTTGGTACCACAGTAGGCTTTCCTAACCACTTAGCCATTTGGGATAAAATATAATAGTTTAAAACCTCATGTATTCTTTAATTAACTTTTTTACTCTCTTGTAATATTGAAGGCTAACTAATTGTGGTTTAGTGTCTCAAACTGTAATGTCCTGATAATTCATCCCATATTCTACTGCCAGTGTTGAATATGCTGGCTGTGTAATGTTTGTGAATGTGGGTCAGTTTTGCTTAGAAAACTTACAAGGACATGCCTCTTTTTGGACATGGTCTACCAATGGTTAAGTGTATAAATCATGATATTTATATTTAAACAAATTTGAATTTTAACAAGCATGTATATATGTAAAAAAGCAAATTTAAAGTTAAAATAATTTTAAAATATGCAAAAATATAAAAGATTTAATTTTCGAACTAATCTACAATATCATTTAAATTCAGATAGCATAAGCAAATCAAGTGCAAAACCAAACCATGAAAATAAATTCACCAAATTAGCAAATTAAAATTAATCTAATTTTTTTTTAAATGATAAGTTAATTTCATTCTGGTATCCCAGTAGGCATGCTATTTCCATGGAGTTTATTATTATTTTTAAGATTCCCTTACATAAAATATATGGTAGATTTCTCAAGAAAATCCTCCATCCTCCTCACTTCTAAAGCAGATAACGTTACATGTTTTGCCTGAGAACCAACCAACCTTATCAAATAGTTCAGTCCATTTGCATTATTTTGAAAAGCAAACTACAAAGATTTTATTAATATGCAGCATGCACAAAGTTAAATTTTGCCAATGATTATTAAGTTTTCTATGTAGTATGTACAACTATGCAGTAACGTATGCAGTCATATTGTAGAATACATTAAATTCTGTCAAATAAAATTAGATGAATATTGCATAATATTAAATTTACAAACAATATATAAAATAAAACATTAATTTTATTGAACTAATATCTCATATAAATTTTCTTTTTTCTTTTCTTTTCTTTTTTTTTTTTTTTTTTTTATAATTAGTTAACATAATTTTTCAATGAAATTTTATAAACTAAGAATTGTGCTGCTATTTTGCAAGAGGATCAACAGAATTATTTAACTTTAGTGTTTTGATCTAATTTAGAAGTTTTTTATATTTCTTAATACTCATCTTTGTCAAATTATGTATGTATCCAGTTAGTTAATGATGTAAAGGTAACCCCCTATATTTAGTTTAAAATGCCCCACCCTATATTTACTTGATTTAAATTTCCGAATATAAATTACTTTTTGTACATTATAAATATTGAAGAAAAATGCATGTGTGTTTATAATCTTATGTATTATTATGCCTCTAAATGAAATCCAAATTTTTAAGTATGATTTCTGTTGTTACTGTAATATAACTTACACAGAATCTCTTTTAGCAATCCTTAGTTCGTTATGCATACTCTTCAGTGATGACGTTTGGGGGCTGTAAAGATGATTTCATGCTAGTTGTCTCTTCTCGAAATTCAGTTCCAGGGCAAGAAAGGAACTCAACTGAACGATTACTTTTTGCTATGGCAAAGCCAAAGGTAAACAGACATCTCTTTATACTGATCATTGTAAAACAATAATTTATAAACTTTTGTAGCTGTGTACTAGAATTATCTAACTGTAGTTTTAATTCAGTCCTGTTCAACAACAACAAAAGTACTAATGCAGATTTCAAAATTTTATTTTGCTTAAGCAAAAATGTGTAATTTCAGATGTAAGCAAGTACTTATTCTCTATTAGAAATGTGTAAAATCTATTTTAATATTTCTTTGAATGTAGGCACTTTTATATAAATTGAAAAGTGGATACTTTCCCTTCATTTATGTGGAACTGCTATAAATTTATTAGTTAGGTTGCTTTCCAGTTTATGAAGGAATAGTGAAAAAAATCGTGGTTAAAAAAAACTACCTGAAAGATTTTGATGAAACTTATAAAGGATTTTAATTATACTATCAAATCTAAACTGACATATGAATAAGAATTATAAGATGTGTGCTATAAGAGAATCACTTTTGCATTTAAAAAAACTGCGCTTATATAGAAACTTGCCATAAAATGAGGTGTGGCATGTAAATCAGCAATGCGCTTCAATATGGAGTAGTTTCATACCAAATATACATGTGACCTATGTAGTAACAATTTCTTAGGGTGATTTATCCAGTGCTTGTGAATGCTTGATCCCCCCTGAATTTCTTTCATACTCAGTATGCCTGGTAATTTTGTGCAACAAATATCTAAACTTGTTATTGGCTTTCATTGTTCTTCCGTTCATAAAAGAATTGTGTGCTCAATTCATTGACTCCCACTGTGACCTGAAAGGTATCTAAATTGTTTCTTAAGCTAATGCCATGATCATGATGCTTTGCATGTTTATAACAAGCTGATGTAATCTATACAGTGGCTCCTACAAGGAACATTTGCAATCACTTCAAAATACAAATTTGTCCTTAAACACATATGACATAGTGAAAAAGTTTGTGTTCAGTAATCCTACCATGAATGAATGACTAGTGTGCTTTAAGTTGGCTAGTGGCACTTCATCCCAGTTTTGGATACTATTATAAGATGTGTGTTTTACAATATGAAATAACCCACTCAGTTACCTGAATTCATGTTGTTATCCAATACTGTAACTTCATCCAACCTTGTCTAATTTCCATATGCTTTGCATGTATGGCATTTTTTGCTGATATGACTAAATTTAATTAAGTGTTGTGAGAGAGGCATCAGAATATTGTAAAAGTACTCTGTATATCAAGTCCGTTTAAACATTCAAGGTTACTGTGATGAGTGCTGAACTGACCAACCATAGAACAGTAGTTCTCACAATGTGATGTGAGGAAAAAAAACTTTATTATGAAGTTTAAGATTCCGCACAATGTTGGCCATGCCAAAAGGTTTATAATGCTTTTTACAACAATGATCTGCTTAAAGAGAACATTAATTTATCCTTGATATACTTAAACAAGTAGATCATCAATCTAAATATGGAGCTGTAGCTCCAACTGAAAATTTAAAGTGGATAATAAAATATAAAACAATTACATCAATACATGCAAGCTTGTCCCGCATAGAAAAAATTTCTGACGATTCATGTCTGTCAGCTGCAGAATTAAAATAAAAATTTTTGATTAGAAAAATTTGCATTTAGATTCATTTATATATTTTTTCTTTCAGAGAAATGTTAAAGAATGGAAATGGCCATTTTATATGCAGTTAAATTAGAGTTCATTAACTGATGATTACAACTCTCAGTAAAGAATTAAAGATAATAACAGTAATATTATATAAATAGGTTTGAGTTTTTTTTTTTTTTTTTTTTTTTTTTTTTTTTTTTTTTTTTTGTATGAATATGCTTTTAGAATAAAAGCTATTTTTAAAAGTTTTAAGGTGATGTAATAAATGTCTTTAGGGAGAGATATATTAGACTATTATATATTAGACTTTTGCTAAAAATAATCCATGAAAGATATGAGAACCACTGTTTTGAAATATTTTTTAAATGTATAGTCTATGGAGAAATTCGCAGAGAACAGTTGGGAAAAGCAACTACTTTAGTACAATTTAAGTGGTTTTGCATGCTAGATAATATATATATTATCTAGCAACATATATATATGTTGTATTATTTCTTAAGACAGAAGGTAGTTCCTAAAAATAAGGGTATATGACATCTGGTTATTAGGTTTTTCCAAGGTGCTTTGTACGTTTTATATTGTTCACAGTTACAAAGCAAGCCTTGTAATAAAATGCAGGTAAAAGAGATCTGTGATATATTCAACTGTTCAAGAAGGGTTAACTTTCTCAATTTTAGAAATATAGGAATGACTCAGTGTGCAGTTGTAAATAAATTTCCAATCTAAGTGGATCATATTGTTAGTTATTGGCCTGAGTAGGTTTCTTTGTTAAGAAAACTAAGAGTTAGCTTGAAGAACAACCAGCTTATATTATTAATTTATGTATTATACATTGTTTAACCCTTTGAAAAGAACATTTACTCATGGAGCTCATTTGGATTTTACAGTATCCACTAAATGGGATTGCATTGAATCCAGAATTTCTTTTTCAATAAATTTCTCTTAGCTCAAGCAAAATAACTTCTTCGCTCATCCATCGTTTTTTATTGAGGCAAGTAGTGACCCCTTTAGAGGAGTTTCCTTCTGGAACTTAACCCACCAGGGGCTGATCAGTAAAGTCATTGAACACTCATAGTTCAGTCTGAGGCTCAAAACCCACAAATGGGCTGGATGCATGGATGCATGGGCTGGTTCCATGGTTTTCCCCTTGTGTAAAATGTACACGAGCCAATTCTCCATAAAAAGTCCTCCACAAAAGCATCCCTCAGCTTAGGCAGGCTCCCTTGAGGCTTTGCCATAATCACATAAACCAAACCAAACCTTTCAGAACCATTTTTCTTTTGAAAATTATCAAAGGGGTTAACTTTTCTTCTTCAGTGGCACAACCCGATGCCTAAGTAAAAGAAATCTTTTCATTCTCAGTTGTTAACACAGAAATAGTTTTGCTGCATGAAGAGTTGTGTTCAGAGGATAATCAAAAGTAACAGGCACATTATCTGTGTTAATTATTTGCTTTTTATTTAGATTTTGTTGCTTAATTTTCTTGTATGTGTCTCCAAAAAAAGCTTTTTTTTTTTTTTTTTTTTTTCAAGCCAGTCCATGAGAAGCTTATGTCCAACTGTTATTTGGGTACTGATGGATAATTTCTTTCATTTCATAAATCTGAAACACAATTAGATCTGCCATCAAAGATTTTAATGCCCATTTGTTGAGCAATTATTTTTTTAAAGGTGAATTCTGTTAACATTAATAATCCCTTTTATCTCTGCTTTGTTGTCTATTTCTCTAAGTTGTCTTCCAAAACAGGCCAAACTATTATACCAATCTGACAAGATCTTTTATTCTTCTTAGGCATTTTCTCTAATGCTGTGTGTTCAGACTTCCACCACCGAATGCATCTTTTGTCAACTTAAAATTCTATAGCCACAGTAGAATTTCCAATTTCTATCACTTTTTTCAATGTTAAAAGCAGCTGTATAGTTTTTTTCTTTGAGCCATAATAATTTTAAAAATTGATCAAGCATGAAGGATAAAGTACGTACTGCAACAAGTGAGCAATAAGAAAGCCACAAAATAGTGAGACATGGATAAGAATATAGCAAAGTAAAAGTTTCTGTGGCCTGTTAAAAATAAGATGACCATTAGAAAGTGCAGATAAACCCATGAAGTTCAACAGAAATTACATGTATTATTCTGTCTTTTCATTGAGGGCACCTACCATAGTTAGGCAAGTTTCAAGCAAGTTCAGATTTGTTGCACTGCCTTGCCACAACCTGAGCACTTCAGGCTGAAATGTTGTAGCAAGTTCCATATTAACTGTTTCACTTGGGCACAACTTACGATGTAAACTAGAAGTTCAAAGATAGAAGGAAAATAAAATGTCTTCAGATATATCTCCCTGGTAGATATGCAGCACACCTAAATTTTCAACTTTTAAACATGTAGAAACATTAGGTATTTTGAAAGCAGAAGAGAAGAAAAATGAGCAACGCCCTCGCCAGGAATTGAACCATGAACCTCTGGAATGTGTGCCCAGCATGCAGACCACCACACCACGAAGGCATGCTAGGAAGGTGGGAGAAAAACCTTATACAGTACAAAGTTCAAAATCCGGACTCATTGGGACTTCGGTGATTCCAGTTTTGGAATTTTTCCAGGTATTAGATCATCAGTTTAAATCTAGTAAGATGACATGTGAAAATTATAAAATTAAAAATATGAAATCGTGATTTATGAAATAATAAAGTATTTATGATCTAAAGGGTATCAAAATTTACAAAAAAAAAAGCTTTATATTTATTTTTTTACCTTATTAAACATTTCTTTCAATTTAAGTTGTTTAAACTGCTTTTTTTTTTTTTTTTTTTTTTTTGTGTGTGTGTGTGTGTGCTAATACTTTCTCTTAAATTCTGTAGACAGACATAATCTCTTGTTTCGTTACATTGTTGAAGTCTTGTAACTGCTGTTTCGAGAATTCCAACTAACTTGTCAATTGAAATTTTCCTGTTTTCAGTAACTTCTCTGTCACTTTCTTCATTATCAGTAGAGGTATTTTCTGGATCTAGAAACATATAACAGATTTCGCCATTCATTAATTGATGGATGGTTGAGAAGCATTGTCATCACAATGAAAAACTTCTTTTATATCATCTTCATTTATTACCGCTTCTCCACATTTCTTTACAAAATCCGTTAATTGGAAAATTTCACCTTTGTTTTGCAATATCCAAAAGCCTTTCAAATTAGTGGCTATCATCATCAAATTTAGCTATCCTTTACTATACATATTTGGCTATGCATCATGAGCTTGGCGACTAACGACAAGTTGTTCCGTTGAATTTTATCTTGCTTCTATTGCACACTGAGACAATTAAGCCTGAATTGTATTAGTTTAGTTATTTATTATACTTATTTCTATTTCTTGCTCATGTTTAAGGCTTGTCAGAGTTCTGAATAAATAAATTCCTACATGTACTTAAGTGTTATTAAGGGCCAGCGCTAGATATCTTACCACCTGATGCGATCACTGTGGTTCCTAAATTCTCCGACTCGTTGCAGCCATACGAGCTCTGGTGCTTGTTCTGGGTTTATGTCAGTTATTCTTAATTCAAATAGCCCTAAATGTAATATTTGGGTCTATATTAGTGTTATCAACTAAATCTATTTCAGCATATGGAAAGAAATTTTTGGTAAAGTTTTCCTTGTCAACATTTTTAGCACATTTAACTTAAATCTGTAATCGTTGCCAAGCGTAATGTCAGCATAAAAGGTTACCATACTCCTTTATTATTAAATTACTAACATAAAAAAACAATCGTTTAGGCATCGCTACATGAGTCATTACTCAAGTTGTCATGTTTTGATAAATATGCGGTGATGAAAGGAAAGTATAATAAATAATGATTCTCCAGGTTGGCATCATATCAATGATGTATCTATGTGAAATGTTTCGGTTTGAGATGTGTGCCAAGCAGACATGCAGCAACGGAGCCAAATTACTGATCGTACAAATTTATGCTAAAACGATGTGTTTCTTCAAAGAAAGGTATTTTATTTAGTGTCAAAGTGAAATTGAGAATTGAAACTCTCCAGATGTTTTATTATGCGTGGGGGGGAGTGTCACATGCATAAAGCCTATGAGAAAAATGTTGGTGGTGGTTTTGAGGTCCGCATTGTAGATCATTCCAGATAATGGATGTCCGGATTTTGGACTTTGTACTGTAATATAAACTACATCTTATCTGCCTGAAATTACAGTACTTATTTTTTTCCTTTGTTCTTACAACCTTCCATTTGTTCGGAAGGAATGAAGACCATTAAAAAGAATAAGGAAAAATACAAAAAGAAAGCAATTTCTGACAAAAGATAACAAATCTCATGCCTGAATAGAGATGTTCATGAGACTCAGGTGATTAAAAGATATCTTTGTAGAGCTGTTTATTAGTAGCTTGTTGGAATGACTCGATTCAAAGTTTGAAGGAACTTATTCAGCATCAGAAACAAGCCTTGTTCCATAATTAGGATATTCAGTTAGCCAACTATGATGGATGAGAATATTATCATACTAATCATGTAGAACTCTGATGAGGAATGCAGAGAACTATTTGCATTTAGTGTTGTGGCACTGAATGATGCATTAAGTGGCCAAATCACATGCAGGCCTTTAATACATTATTTAACCTCTTCAGTGTCCGACTCCAGCATGACTGGCTTTGTCCGGTCATAAGATTGTTTGTATGTTGGCACATATTAGCTTCAATTTAAGATAGTTTACTTTCTTACTTTCTTTAATAATTTAAATGTCATCTTAATGAATGTAAGTTTATGAAAATAGAGGCTAAAATAATTGTTCAAATTTAGCTAATAAATGTTGTTAAAATATAGGTCTTCATGACAGATCCAAAATCCTGCACCGCTCAGAGAGTTAATGCATCACAATTTTGTCAATGTCGTCTTGACCTCAGTGACCTCTTGACCCCTCAATGACCCAGTGACCTCTTTGACCCCTCAATTAATTATCAGTGTCCTCTCACTCCATTGAAGAGTGTAACAACTTAGAAAGAAAATCCTGATGAGTTAATTGTTTTTATTTAATCGTAGAAACAAGGATCATTGAACAAGGATTATTTAATTATAGTATGAGTCCCTAGTATTTCATGAAAACTCTCATTGCCTTGATAATATCTACATGGTCATTGAATATAGATTCAATGAAATTCTAATTGCATGTTTTATGCAGAAGATCATAATAAATATTTATCAGCATTTCTATGATTATTTTTTAGATTAGGACTTTCTGTAAGCAAAATTATCCTAGTTACAGTTCTGATTCCGAGGCTACGATATGACCGTTATATTGCTCCACTTAGGCAATTTTTAAGCTCGAATAGAAGAGAAAGAAAGTTGTATGTAAGCTTTAATAATTCATTATACAGCTGCAGGAAAAATATACATATTCGTAAACCTATTGGCCTGATAATTTCATGATGAAAAATGACATCTTAGGTGAAGCGCAGGTATAAAGGAAGAGCTGATGAAACCTTTCCCATTCCCCTAAAATGTATGAATAGATCAAGATAGAAACTTTAAAGATAGCCAAGATTTTTCCTTTCTGTCTCTATCTCTCTTAATACAGTACAAAGCACCAAAACTGGGCATCCTATATCCAGCATGATCTAACATCCAAACCTCCAGACTACCAGCAGGTCAAGCGGTAAAGTTAAACCTGGGTTCAAATCCCAGTGAAGAGACTGGCTACATGGTTGGTTTCCCTGGTTTTCTCCATGTAGATATGAGCCAGTTTCCCTTAAAAAATCCTCCATGAAAGCATCCTTCCCCATTGGCAGATAGTCCTCAAGTTGCTTTACCTGAATCGATTAACATAACCAGACTACCAGCCAAAAAAAATTTCTTTGAGAATTGTTTTCTTATGAAGTCCTAGAATGGGGAACTTAATACTCAAGAAAAAGCATTTATGCTGTAAAAGACATTTTTCTCTACCAAGATTCCTGCATGTCACTTTCAAACGCCTGCTGGTTAAGGAACTGCACCATAACCAATGACAGTACATTGACAATGTATTGATGTTGTTAACAAGCACACTTTCACCCCTTCAGTTGTTGTGGGGGGTTAGAATTTATGTGGTGAATCCCTAAGACATATTTTTTGTATGTGTATATATATATATAAATAATAGTTTTATATGTATATATATATAACTATTTAGAACTGCAGATATTTTTAAAGTGATATATACACAAGTATCACTTTTTAAGTGGTATATATATATGTACAATTTTAAGTTATATATACTGTATACAGTGTATACAATATATAGACTAGCGTGCAGAACTTGAGCTACAAACTCATTTCTCAACATACAGCCATGAACTTGTTGAAAAGGGCTTTTTGCGATCAGTACAATGAAAAACAAACTCAGTATAAAGGTGATCTATATGCAAATAACAGCACCATGATGTTGAAGGGTACATGAGGGCACACAAAACTCGAGGACTCAGCACATGTAGTGCAAAGCAACTTAAGGGGAAGTCCATTTCTCGGCATCCTTCTGCAAGCGAAAGTGAGATTGCACATGCAATATAGCTATGAAGAAACATCAGGATGCTTTTACACATGGTAGAATGATTGGCAAGCTTGACGAGAGGTGTAGTTTGAGATCTGTTGCCCAATAGTTTGCAACTGATAAATGTGTTCTTTCACAAATTGGAAATTTGTCCGAATGATAGGTACAGCTGTAAGAAAGGTTGGTAATGGTTGGCCAGAAGATTAATGACCAACATATTGCTGTGCAAGAGAAATGAGACCGAAACTAGACAGCAGGAAACATTGCACAGCAGTTGCACATGGCAGTCAGACAACTTAATTAAGGTGACCTATTTGCCAACTGTCCTGAATGCTGCATTCCATCAGTGGCACTGTTTACAATGGTGTAAAGAAACCCAAAGACCTCATCAGTGGAGTCAAGTCCTCTTCAATGATGAGAGTCAGTTCAGCCTGACAAATATTCTCAGCACCAATTGATATGTATAGAGGTAGGGGCATGCTTTTATCCCACTAACATCAGATAAGGAGACCATTTGGGATGCCCTGATTGTGTATGCAGAGATGTTTTAATAAATGATCACAGTTCACTTACTGAAGATTATTGTTGTGATGAAGTCGGTTCCTTCACATTTCAGGATGCCATTTTTCCAGACTTTATTTTTATGGATGACATTGTATAGCCAAGTAGGACTCTCATGCTGTTGAGAAGCTCCTGGAAAGTGAAGATATACATAGAATGGATTGTCCATTGGGCTCTCCTGATTTAAATTCCATTGAATATGTGTTGGTTACTTCACCTCACTGGACACCTCGCGAGATGATCTTACCCTCTGGAGAATGCCAGGCAACTAAAACAGATGCTCTTTGAAGAACAGAAACTTCTACCCCAAGAACTGTAGATAATCTAGTGTTGAGTATCAATAGACAGTGCTGTTAGGGTAGGTCATATCCCTTACTAAGGCCTTTTGGCTTGTTGTTCTTCCTCTTAGCCAGACAGTTTTCTGTAACAATGCCATTCTGTCAATGAAGCCTTTTTCTATTTGTTCTATACTCTATGCATCATATTAATTTGTTTGCTATTATACTTTCCTCATTGTTTAAGTAATGCATTGTGTTTCCGTAATACGAGTTTCATGTATCCCAACTGATTGTTTATAGAATTACAGCCAAAATAAAAAAGTTGCTTAAGTTTTGCACATTAGTGTATATACAGAGAGAAAGAGATTTAGGTGCTTAACTTCCTTGAATATTTATTTTGTATCTTTTGTTGTTTTATTCCCATTATGTGTGTTTCATTCAAGTTTATTTAAATAATAATAACAATAATGATGATATATTTATCTTAAGATTCTAGAGTTGACATTGCTTATTGCTGACTACATGAATGCTATATCTCAAAATGAAAGATCTGCAAAGCGAGGTACTGCAAGCACTATTCCATCTCCTGGTGGTTCCATGTCTGCTGTATATCATCATGAGAGAACCAGAACAAAAATTCATCCAAATAGTGCAGTGTCCCAAGGTAGTTATTCTACTATGGGTAGTGCGCCACTTGATTCCTCCTCCTCAGTAGATCCTGCAAAAATGACTCTTTCCTAGTCATAATTCAAAAACAGTTTTATTTGTTTGAATATTTAGTGTGGCTTTGTGCAGAATTTTTTTATGTGTTTCTTCACATTAGAGACTTGAGGGATCTTCTGCAAAACTGGGGCCAACGAGTAATTGCTTTGGAATTTCTTTTCATAAAAGTTCAAAGAAAGCATTGATATTGTTGTGGAAGACATGCATGTATATATAAATTTCATTTCATTTGTGCCTGATTACGGACATAATTTTGGTGCTATTTGCGTTTGTGCAGCTTTCATTTGTTCCTGTGCAAAACTTCAGTAGAATGACATTCTTTTGTTTGGGGAAATGAATTTTCTGTGACTGCATATATTCCTGTATGTGCACCTTTTCTTTAAAATGTCCATAAATCATATGAATATTAATATATTAATTTAAAAATAATATGAAATTATGTAAATAAACATAGTTCAAGCCTCTATAATTACAGATAAATAATTACATAGTTTTTTACTGTATATTTGAATGTATTGATGCAAATTTTTACTGTTTTTATGCATATGGTAAAGTTACATTAAGAAATGTTCAACTTTGTATTTTAAATATATGTATTATAAAAAAATCAGAATGTGTAACTATTTTTTAATTCATACATTTTTTTGAGGAAATCATTAACATCTGTAAAGGTTAGTAACAGATAGCATGTTGTGATCAGCAGTACTAGATTATTCTAACTGTATCTATTTAAAAATTTAGAACATTGAAAAGGATTTATAATCAATATTTTTCTTATTTAAGATTGTTCATTGCTCACATAGGATAAAAAAATTAAAAATTGTGTCACTAAATAACAAGCTACCTTCAAAGCTAAGTACATATATATATATATATATATATATAATTGAAAAAGAAAATGTAAAGCTAACTGGTAAATTAGACGTAAGACCTATCTGGTCTCAAAACTTTTGCGCATAATATATATATATATATATATATATTACAGTTTTCTTTATCTAAATTTACAGTTAAAATATATCTTAAACTTTCCAGGATAGCATAATCTTTATTAAATAATTTTGTATTAGGTGAAATTGTATAATTATTTAACTATGTTCAAGGCAAAAATTTTTTCTAAGATGTTTTTAGGAAAAATTCTATATGTAATCAATATCCATTTTAAATGATTTTTTGGGCCTATGCTTTATTTTTTTCTCAACTAGTTCCACTTTTATGCCTTTCTACAGACATTTTTAAACATTCCTATACTTTGCAGTTATGAGAGATTTTGTTCTCTGTCACCAAAGTTTATTGAATTTTTGTTATTTAAGAATTTCTCTCAAGTAGGTGCTTACTCATCTATGTTTCTGTACTTGCATTTTTAGTTTTCCAAAATTTTATGTAATGCAAGTCACTATTAGAATTTCATGATAATAAATTTTTTAACAAATTGTCATCCCATATATCTTACTCAAAATTAAATCTAAGTATTAGGGCAGTGACTGAAATTTATGGTTCAAAACTTAGAAATGTTTATTGCAGTACAATATTATATCAATGTTAATCTACATTGATATAATATTGTACTGCAATAAACACTTCATTCACTGTATGCATTTTTAGGTATAGGAGTTCTGTACTAAAACATCAGTTTCCAAAATTCTGTACTAAAATATCAGTGTCCAGGATTATTTATTATTTCAATAATATTACCATTTATGTTAAGTTTATTGCTACATCTCATCGTAAATGCTTTATTATTGTTGTGTATGATGATATATAGCATCAGATTTCATTTTTTTTGTTTTAGTTTCAAAATATTATTCATTATTAACAATTTGTAAAATATTTCTTAGCACCTTTTATATATTGTAGTGTGCAGTTAGAAATCAATTAATTTGAATTTTGAAATAAAAATCTGTAAGACTGTCAGTAAGTAAAGTGGGAGATGTGTTTCTCATTATGCTTACTCAGTGTTATATAAGCTGCAGCATGTTTCTTTGTAATCTTTAAATGATATTAGTATGCATTTTTCAAAGAGTTTCATGATTTTCTATCAGGGAGCGTAAGAGTTTGTTACAATCTCTAAATACTTTTTTTTTTCCAGGGAAATTCTAATTTAGCTCCCCTCTGCAGCCTCATTTAAATATGACCATTTAAAATGTTTAGTATCTTTACTTATACAGTATTTAAAACTGAATATCAAGCCAAATTTCAAAACATTTTAATAATTTCTCTATGACTGATGTTCCTGTGTGTAAGGCTATTTCAGTTATCTTTCAGCATTTTTTCTTTGATAAAGCAGATCAAATAATCTTCTATTTTTATTCAATTATGTGTGCAGTTTATTTGAGTTTTAATTTTTTTAACTTAATATAAATATTTATATCTGTCCAACACAAATTTAATATTTAGGTAAATACAGAAATTTATTAAAATTTAATGCATAACCTAATAAAATAGACCACTTGTTTTCATTTCTTGTGATAAATTACAGTACAAAACAAGTGTATTTTGTAATATAATAATAAGCCCAAAAGTTTCACCACATGAATTCAGTGAACCACAAAATGGCAGTTCTGTTCTGTTATGTATGATCCATTTTAATGTTTTAATAATGGGGAATTTTTGTGAGACAAGCATTCAAGTTTTGATTTTCATATTTCTTTTGAATGCAATATCAAAATATAGTCATGAGGTATTACCATCAGGAAATTCTAATTTAAAAATTATTAGATACTTTTAAGTACTAAAGTTTGCTTTGTAATTTAGAAACTCATCCACATATCCAGCACTAACAGAGAGACTGAACATCTATTTTTTACTGTGTCATTGGATATAATCATTATAGTCTCACATTTCCTGTTATGAACATTTAGCAAAAATATAAGCAGATAAATGTAGAATTCTCATGGAAAACATACTGTTGGATCTGAAAACATTTTTTTTTTTTTTAAAGAAAAAGAAAGAAACTTGTGTAAATACCATTCCAGCTTTGAAGTATTTCACTTTTATACAGTAAATGGTAGTCTCAGGTGTTCTGAACTTTCTTGGTGCAATATTCAATATTTATTTTTGCCATTAGTTCTTAACTACTGAAATGTTGTATAGATTTTGTCTTTGACTGCCATTGTACTAAAATTGTATTGGTTATAAAAAGCATCTTGTTTTGCTACTTTGAATGTAGTTAATACAGTTATAGTTTTGTATTGTTTGTTATGATTTAGTGAAATTGGCTTTGAAGAAGAAAATAGTGATACCATAAGCTAAACACATGTATCTTCATTAATTCATGTTAAAAACAGTATATTTGGTATTTATGCGAATACTGCCAAAGCCAGTTACATCCTGCCTGAATATTTGTACAATGTCTCCATCCTAAAAGTGTGTCTGAATATGTCTGTTCTTCCAAATATAAATATAATGCATTGTATTTTGATACCTTTACAGTATTCTGTTCCTTTCACAAACATTTTGCATAAATATTTTATTGCAGCAAACTATCTTTTACTAGAAACATGTAATTGCACAGTGCTGGTAAGAACTCTTTTTAAACGAAATATATGCTTCTAATTTGTGTATAATCCCCTAGATCAATTGTAAATAATTTATTTTGAAATACATGTAAAGTTGTATTTCTCTAAAATAGGATTTGTTTCATTCTTTCTTGAAGAATACTGTAAACAGTGTGAAGCTAGATATATTGTATTAATGCCTGAGTAAGGTCACAATGCTCAAAACTCTTGTAGGAAAAAATGTATTTTTGTGTGTAGTGTTATTTTACATAAATGATTTTTTAATAAAAGTCTTGTTCATGTAAATCTGTGATTTTTTATTTATGAAGATATAACTCATTTATACAGTTGCTGATGCTCACTTTTTCACATTGAAATTACATTAAAGAAATATTGCATTAAGAAGTATTAATTCTGTATTAACTATATTTAACATACTGTGATACCTCAGTTCATGAATTTCATTGAGTGCCATTTGTCATCTGAAGTGTTAGTAAGCTGAAACAATTTTTTGCCTAGGAATTAATGTGTAATGCATTAATCTACTCATGGACCACAGATGATTACTGATTTAAACTTTACAACAGTTCTTTGTGTGTAAGTTCGTAACACAAAGCCAATAGGGATCATTAAATCTAAGAAAGATAAACACTATATGAAATAGGGAAAAATAATAGATGAAAGCTTAATTTTACTATATCTCTATTAAGGGAAGTGAATGGTATAAGTGAAAAGACGTTACTTTTTGTATGAAGAGTCTCTTTCCATAATAGCATCAGATAATTGTCTTCCTAGGACATCTGATTTTCTTTTCCTTTGTCTTCTAACACTGCTTGTCTCTGCTTGAGACTCACTTGGTTTTTCACTCAAAATTTGCCCCATGGGATTTGTTGTCTATATTTTGAAATGTTTCTAAAGTGAGGTATGACATTGTCATTGAAACTGCTTATGCTGTAGGTGGCTAGTGCTTCATCATCCATTTTGCAAAAATTTGGTGGATAAAAATACAAGGATCATCTTTATTTCTTTCTTTTTCCTCTGCAGATTCCTTCACAGTCATCTTTTGCTGCTGCTTTTGAAGTTGTTGTCATTCTTTTTAGTTGAGCACAACTAATAACTAATTCATGTGTTCATTGTTAATTTCCAAGCTCATAGTTTCATCTAGACCTGAGGTTTCCAAACATTTTTGTCCTGTAGACCACTTACTGATTTCTTCTGTTTTTTGTAGACATCTTCATAGGGGTTCTTCCAAAACCAATCAGGTAGTGTAATATTTACACTCAGGCATTCCAAAATGGAGTGAAACAGAGTGTAAGTTTCACCCAAAGCATTCCAAAATACTCTGGTAAAAGCAAAATGTATTGAAATGTCATATGACAAGTTCAAAATTTTAACTGACAGGGTGAAATTTTACAATGGCTGAGTATTTTTTGGAACACTAAAATTGAATTTCTGAAAAACTGCTCAACTTCAAGCATCTTTAGCAGCTGCTCACTTTGATTGGGTTTATTGTAGATTGGAATATTTGAAAAAATAAATAAAGTTTTTATCTGTATACCTCTATTAAAACGGCATAAAACACAAATCTAGTAACATTCTTGCATAAAATTAGAACACACACACAAAAATAAATAAATAAAATAATGCTGTTAATGGAATTTAAGAACCTGATTCTTTAATAGCAAATTATTAATATTTGGGATCTAATCAATCAGGCTTAAATCTTTTCAGCCAGTGATTTCCAATCTGTTCTTTTCTACAAGATCTTTCCAATCTTGGTGTAATTTTCATAGGAGTAACACTTAATAGTTCTTATAGTAATTGTACCTATATCTTATGCTTTGATTCAGATCTGATAAATACTGTGGCAGCATATACTAGTTGACTGGCATTACAGAAAGTATGTAGACCTAATTTAATCTCTCTACTCCCACCAAATCATCTGGGTACTTTTATATTGATTGAATATGATATGCCTTTCGTCTGCTTAAAAAATTCTTTACATCATCATCTCATGTTTGCTCTTCTTTCAGGTAGACTGCAACAGAAATTTAGGACATAATCCAATGTTTTCTTTTCTTTCAGGTTTCTTTAAATCCTAAGCCTTCTGGACTAGTCTCTAGAGATAGCTTCTCGATCTCATAATAGTTCTAAAATGTCTGACTTGTTGGTTTCAAGTACACAAGTTTCTAAACAACTATGTTCCCTATCTCCCAAATCTATTTGTGCTTCTGGCTAGCCTATATTTGACAGTGCCCTCACCAAGTTGTTGTTTCATTTATGGTAACCTGAGTAGTTGAATGTTATGAAACCCTATTATGATATAATTGGGCATAAATTTGACTGATGGGAAAAGATTTGTAAGGGCTTGTTTGTGTGTTGGATGTTGGTTAGGAAGTTGCTTATTTTGTGATTTACACTATAAAACTGCTGAATGTGGTAAGATTAATTTGAAATTTCTATAGGATTTGGAACGAAGGGGGGCCATTAACTGACTGGTGTGTAAATGAAGGTTTACTTAGTAGCAATAATATAAGTGTCCTGTTTGCACAAAGGAAATGCATATGGTCGAACGGGTTTGTCGCAAGAAAGGCTCAAATGGTCGCCGTATAAAGCATTCCGTTAGAAAGGGAACATGGTTTGTGGAAAGTTTTTGGATGCTATTTAGGAATTTTATGTGCCACAGACTGAAGACAGAGAAATTTCCAAATAAGGTAGGTGGCTATTTCCTTTGTGCATAGTGCTTTTTTATGTTATTTCATTGTTTGATTTAAAACGCAGTTTATTGAGATTATATATTTTTTGTGCGCAATGCCGAGTTTGTGCAATTCTGTGATTTTTTTAAAGTGAAAATAGGTGAATGTGTACATGGATACCGAGTTTGTGCATTTCTTTGACTTGTTATTTTGGCTTTGTTTAGCGGCGATTTTTGGAGCGAAAATCGGCCGCTAAACAAAGGTAAAATAACAAATTGTATAAACTCTGTGTCCATGTACCGCCAAAAATCGCCAGGTTCGCCAACGGGGCACCGTCAAATATAGTTTTACCGTGCTTACATAACCTCGGTTGTAAGTAGTGAAGTGACACTCTTATTTACATTTCATCTTTTCTGACTTCCAGGAGCTTTTACCATTAATGTCCACCTAACTTAGTTTTCATGGCAAATAAAACTCCTTTATATTCTTTTCTTTCACCCTGTGATGAGTTTTCCTGCGACATCTGATCCACTTACTACTTCAATAAGACTTGGGTCCTTTTGCATATCACTTAAAATAATACTAGAAGTTTTAAGTTTTCGAATTTAGAAATCACTACAAATCATTTCGTAATCTAATGCTTCAAGATTGCAAAGATAATTAGCATCAAGACAACCTAAATAAATGTTAGAAAATTTATGTTCCGATTCATTTTTTACTGTCTCTTCAAATATAGGATGTTGTACAATTTCTTCTTTAATTTGCTCGTAGTTCATATTTAAGGCTGAAGACTATACGGCATCAATCATTATGTACCAATTAACATATGAACATAACATTCAGTATTATTATCTATTAACTTTGCAATAAATATTTGTAGACTTAATTGAGAAACTTCATGATTAGAAAACGAATTTGAATATAATGCGTCAATACATTATACATTCTCTTTTGTCAACTCGAGAGGCTTGTTTTCACAAACTGAATTATTTTAGTTTTTATTGTTTTCATTATTTGTTTTATGTTGTTTCGGACACATTATTGAAAAATATCTCTTTGAACATAACATACACTTCATTAAAACCTCCCAGTTATTTGCATTATGTCGTAATTTCAGACCACAAAAAATATTTTTTATCAAATAGAATTTTTTCTTTTATGTCAGTGGCATTTTTAGCTCTAAAACAGTCATTACTGCTCTGCTTACCAGTACAAAATAAAAATGCATTACTTAAATTATTTCCTTTAAACGATAAATAATAGCATTAACAATTTCTATGTGTTCTATCAAATTTACCCTTTAGTTCTCCTCAAAGGGTTTATTCTTAAAATTAAACCCTGAATTTGCAATTGAAACTCGTTCTTCTGTTACGACTGAATCATTAAATCATCAAGTGGTGCTCCTCTAAACGATTATCTTTGCCAGACTCTTAAAAATTCTTCTGGAACACAGGATTCCACCATCAGAATTGCATTGTATGTTTCAGTGCTATAGCTAGATATTCTAACGCCTTCAAATGAGAGTCTAATCTATCATATACAAAGCTGAAAGGTAAGAAGTGGAATGTATCGTGGTATTTTGAACGCGTAATAACAAAAGTTCTCTAATATAAAACTTCCGTTATTAAATCCAAACCTTCGATTACCTTCGGATAATTATCTGCAGTCGAAGGATAACTATTTACCAATTTTCTGGCGCGAGAATTTGTCACAGTTGATTAAATAAAATACTGGAATTTATCCGCAGGATCTATATTAACATCTACGTGCATTTTCTCTAATGAAACCCAGATTGGGGGCATATTTCATTAAATTTCTTTATATCAATTTGTTCAATCAAGTTTAAACTTTTGTTTTTGTGAAATACTTACTCTGTGAGAAGAATTTGACATACTGTCAAATGCAGTTTATTTTTTTTAATCTAAAATTATCTTAACCTCAAAATAATTATTTAAATACTGTTTAATGGACTTACCTTCGTTTTCCAGTCCTCTTCTGTTTTGTTAGCTTCTAACATTTCATACCTTACTTGGCTATCAATGTTTTTATTTTTTTATTAATCTGAAGTTTTGATTACACTTCGATAATATCATTCGGATCCTCTTTTCTGATCACTAGTGTTTGTGAAAAATGGAACACCTTGAAGGAACTGTCGGAAATGAATGAAATTTTTTCCACATATCACTGATAGTGGTACAAATAAACATCCAGATTTACAAGGGAAAAAAACGAACGTTGGAAGTCAGTACTTTGTCCGCTACGCTGAGCGATGAGAGCCTGTACACGTCGTGGCATTGAATCATACAGGTTCTGAATGTAACCTTGAGGGAATGGCATTCCATATGGCTTCAACATGACGCCAAAGTTCAGTCTTAGTGTGTACACCAGCATTACGAGCGAGTCACCGACCGATGAAATCCCAGACTCCTGGAACGGGAGATATATCTGGGGAATTAAGCAGGCCTTCCATGAAGTGAAACCTGTTGTGGGCCTTGTGCAGTCTGAGAAACATGTGCACGGGCATTATCCTGCTGAAATACAGTGTCCGGAATGCGTCAAAGAATGGGGAGGACTTCTGGCTCCACAACTTCCCTTATGTAGCGATCACTT